TGTTTCATTACCTGACTAGGTAACATCATCAGTTAAAGTGAGTGTGGGGCTTGCTCCCTGTTTATATACTGTAGCTTGCCCTGCTAGGGTTGGTGGGGTTTTTTTTCCTTCTTGATATTTCCTTGATTAGGGCATTGTTTTCTGCTTGATGGTTTGTCTGGTGTTAATCCTTGCTTATCTGGGTGTTGGCTGCTGGAGAGGATGTATTCTGTTTTTTTTGTTTCTTTCTTAGCTTTTTTTATTCTGTCTTTTGAATGGTGTGTAAATGTGGTTTATCTCTGTGTGTCTGTTGATGGCTGATGAGTCTGAGTGCCAAGCTTCCAGGAATTCCCTCGCATTTTTGGATTTAGCTTGGTCTAAGACGCTCACAGTTTCCCAGCTGAAACTATGGTTGAGTCTGTCCACGTGTTGTGAGATGAAGGAGTTTTCATCGTGTCTTCTGGCTGCTAGTTGGTGATCGTGGATGTGCTCTGCCAGCCTTCTGCCTGTCTGTCCTCCATAATGCTTGTTACAGTCCTTACACTGTATGTTGTAGATGACTCCTGTTTTCCCTTCTTGGGCTACTGGGTCTTTTGGTTTGCTTAAGATGTTTTGGAGGGCTTGAGTTGGTTTGTATGCTACGGAGATGCCACGTGGTTGTAATAGACTGTTGGTTGTTTCTGAGACGTTTCCGATGTATGGCAGTCTAATCCTTTTCATAGCTTGTGTTGGTTGTGTTGCAGTAGGTTGAGTGATCAGGCACTTTTTGACAAAGTTGTGTGGGTATCCATTTTGTTGGAAGATGTTGTATGGGTGGTCTGTTTCTTTTTTCTGCTGTTCTGGGTTGCTGCAGTGCGTCTGTGCTTGCCTGAATAATACTCTTATACAACTCCTCTTGTGGGAGGTTGGCTCGTTACTTTGGTAATGGAGCACTTGATTAGTGTGGGTTGTTTTTCGATTGACTTGTGTTTCTAATTTGCCGTCATTTCCTCTCCTGATATCCAGGAAGGGTAGTGTGTTGTTGTTTTCTTTAAAACAACCACACTAACCAAGTGCTCCATTACCAAAGGAACAACCCAGTAGAATTTGCTGGGGGCAAATGGGGGTGAGATCAGGCCTGAGGCTATGGGGGGAAAATGTTTATGCCCCTCCAGGAGAGGCAGCTGGGCAGTGGCTCAGAATGTTGGCGACCTCTGCATTCTAAGCCCTCCCCTACCTGGTCACATGGCCCAGAGCAGAACATGTTTGCCCCACTCCCATACACACAACATCTGGGCACTGCTGGGAAAGGGGTGGGAGAGAATTCCAGAAGCCGTGCTCTGTGTCAGGCTAATACTTCTCTTAGCGAACACAAAAATTGGACGCTCTGCGGGCAGTGATGCATAGACACAGATGGCCAATAAATAAGCTTATTGCAAAAACTAGGAAAGCTGTTAAGAATTCCAGTGACTGCCCAGCAGAAAACATAAGTCTCATTTATTGAATTCAGGTTCAGTTCCTCTGCCTGTGTGAAATGGGTGGAAGCCTTCGTGCCTTTGGGCAGGAGGAAAGGTTGGTGCCTCTCCCTTGTTACTGTAATAGATTAGTCTGGTCTTGGGCTACCTGCTTCTCGCTCTGCCTGCTTTTTCTACCTCGTTTAAATCCCCATGTATCAACTGCACAATGCTGGAAGCCAGAACCAAATCCAAATCAAGCTTAAGATTTTTATTTAAACCATTCCTTTCCTAGCACACTAGGGTATGCTCTTCGTGTGAATGTTTTCTGAGCTTCGTTATTGCTATTACCTATATCATGATTTTTAATGTTCAAGGTTTTTCCTATAAGAACCTAGAACAAGCAGGTTGGGAAGGAAGCTCGTGAACTTTAAAATAGTTTTAAATTGCTTGGGATAGTTAGGGATGTCTAGTTGGTATCTGGAAGAATAGTCTTACGTAGGAATTCTTACAAAACATGTATGTTACCAGTGTAATAGGACAGAAAGCATTCACTCGGCTAAGGAGCTCTTGAATCTTGAGGTTTTAGTTCACAGAGTGAGATCTGAGGTTTATAGATCAACATACTGCTATTCTTGTTATAGCGATTGCCTTTTTTGGGCAATTGGATTATTTACAGAAGCTGTTCTTAATACAGTGTGTATTTTGGCTGCCCAGAACTTGCTATTACTGTATGTTTTTTTTTTAATCCATTATCTTTAATGGAAGGAAATCAAAGGGATTCAAAAGTTGGTCTAGCCTTCATTTGATGTATGTAAAAACGATAAAAACGAGATTGCATTTAACAAAAGCTCAGCAGACATTTCCTGGTCCGTGGGAAAAGAAATAACCTGGCCTTGTGTTGGATTTCCTAGATTTCCCGTGGCATGGAGTTGGACAGCAGCAATCAACCTGTTGTTATGAGAGACGACAACAAGCGGCGGAGGAGGAGGAGGATGAAGCCGCACTGTACAGCAAACAGTTTCTCTTCAACAGAACTCATCTCCATTGAGTTTGTTCTCCCCACAGCCAGCATCATAGCAGATATAGCTAGCAACTGCACAGTAGAGCAGATGAAAGCCCAAGTTTGGGTGCGAGCAGTAGAAGGTAATCAGACCTCCGATTCCTTCCGCAAGATCACGCCCGATCAGTTTCTTCTCCTGTATCAGAAGAAGGGGCAGTGGTATGAAATTTATGACAAGCACCAGATCATACAGACTCTGGATTGTATATTATATTGGAAAGTGTTACAGAAGAAAGTGGGCAAAATCCATGTGGTTGAAAAGCCCAGCCCCACAGAGGAAGTTCAGGAGTTTCAAAAGCAGCTCAATTATTTGATTGGCTACGACGTCACTGACGTGAGCAACGTGCATGATGACGAGCTTGAGTTTGCCCGCCGCAGGCTAGTCACTCCACGGACAATTGAAGTATCCTGCAGAGATCCAAAATTATATTCCATGCACCCTTGGACTACATCCAAACCACTTCCAGAATATTTGCTGAGTAGAATTGTCAACAATAATATTTTTATAAATATACACAGAGGAACAACTAGCCAAAAGATTAAAGTAGCTATTGATGACACACCAGAAGTAATCCTCCAGAGCTTCTTCACAAAAATGGCAAAGAAGAAATCTTTAATGAATATTCCTGAAGATTACAGCGAGCTGGATTTTGTCCTTAGAGTGAGTGGCAGAGATGAGTATATTGTAGGAGAAACACCAATCAAAAACTTCCACTGGATAAGACAGTGTCTTAAAAATGGGGATGAAATCCACCTCGTCCTGGATGAACCACCAGACCCAAACCAGGATGAAGTTCAGAAAGAGGAGTGGCCCTTGGTTGATGACTGCACTGGAGTTTCAGGTTATCATGAGCAGCTAACAATACATGGCAAAGATCACGAAAGGGTATTTACTATATCCTTGTGGGATTGCAATCGGAAATTCAGGGTCAAGATAATTGGCATTGATATCCCTGTGTTACCAAGAAACACAGACCTTACGGTCTTTGTTGAGGCTAATATTCAACATGGCCAGCAGCTCCTTTCACAGAGGAGAACAACAGCTAAACCATTTACTGAAGAAATTCTGTGGAACGTTTGGCTTGAGTTTGACATCAAGATTAAGGACCTCCCTAAAGGAGCATTACTCACTCTGCAAATATATTGTGGAAAAGCCCCAGCGCCATCCACAAAAGTTAACCTGCACTCCCATGATTCTCCCTGTTCTGATCCTAAATACAAAACGCAGCTTCTCTATTATGTCAACATTTTATTGATAGACCACCGCTCTCTGCTTAGAACGGGGGACTATGTGCTCCATATGTGGAAAATTCCAGGTAAAGGGGAAGAGCAGGGAAGCATAAATGCTGATAAACTGACCTCAGCCACCAATCCAGATAAAGAAAATTCAATGGCTATTTCAATTGTTTTGGACAAATACTGTCACCCCATAGCCTTGCCTAAACACAAGATAGCATCTGATCCACACGGGGACAGGGTCAGAGCTGAAATGCCAAACCAGCTGCGTAAACAGCTGGAAGAGATCATAGCTACTGATCTGCTTAATCCACTCACCTCTGAAGACAAAGAATTATTATGGCATTTCAGATATGAAAGTATAAAGCACCCCAAGGCATATCCTAAATTGCTTAGCTCAGTGAAATGGGGACAGCAAGAAATAGTAGCCGAAACATACCAGCTGTTAGCTAAAAGAGATGCGTGGGACCAGAGTGCTTTGGATGTTGGCTTGCCAATGCAGCTTCTGGACTGCAACTTTTCGGATGAAACCGTGAGAACAATGGCTGTGCAGAAGTTGGAAGGGTTAGATGATGATGATGTTCTCCACTATCTCTTGCAGCTGGTTCAGGTAAGATAGATGGACATTTCTGATGTCTAAATGGGCCCAGTCTTGGTTAGTACTTGGATGGGAGCCTATCAGAAGATGCCAGAACTATAGTCTGGGAATGTTTTTTTTTAAAGGGAAATAAAAAAAAAATAGATGAAGACAATGGCAAGAAAACGCACGTACATGTAACCATTAGGAATCAAGCTTTACTCAAGAGAGACTTTATCTTTTCCTTTGAGAGCATTCTGAATGGTGGAGTGCACCATGGTAAGGGTGTGAAAAGGGGCACTTCCCAAAATATGTTAGCACAAGCCGTACAATTCCTCCTTGAATCATTAAAGCAGCTGCATCCTTTTAAAGGCTAATGTAATTGCTTTGAAAGAAGACTTTTACTATGCTGCCTCTGTGTGTATAGATGCACGCACACCCACTGCCCTTCATGTTGCTGGCAGTCCCATTGGAAGGATCTGTGCCTGCACACACCAGCAGACAACTGGCAATTCCCTTTGAAAAGGTGGTGTGAGTGTTCCAGGAGATGTGACTACTATAATTCTTCAGAAGAGGTGGTTTGCTTAACGCTACTACACTTTGCAAAGTATCCTTCTGATTGCTCTCCACAGCCATAATGATAATACGGTTATCATTAACCATATCAGCAGAACCATTCATACATTGCAAACTGTTGTGTATTTGCCCGTCTCTCTGATTATTCAGTATTTGATCTTCGGGAACCGAATGTGTGAACTGGCCCCGTAGAAGCATCTTTGGGTGCTGAGAACATGCTTAAACGATGGGTCATTTGCAAATGGGCGTTGCATCTGATCTTGCAGGTATTAGGTGTTGGGTATGGTACACACATGAAATCATGATTTATCCAAAGTTCCCTTATTACAACAGGATCTCCTATATTAGCAATTGGTGTTACCAAATAGTAGCACCTATTCTATTGTGTGTATATATGCTTAATATATGCTGTGTAGGCATCCTTAAGATAGTCCTTTTAAGAGGAAAAAAAGATTAGCTAGCGTTTCGCTGAAGCCCTGTGGTTTAACAGCTACATGGTGTCCTGAAGTGGAAGAGATGAAGTTTACACTTTTCTTCAGGTGTCTGCTGGCCCAAATCTGCCTGAATTTCTTAGTTTGCATGTAACTTTTAAAAGAAATGATAGGCGGGGGAAAAATGAATTCTATGCTGTGCTGGGAGAAACTTGGCAAAAAGTTCTGGCCAAATATAGTTAAAATGGCATTCCTTCATCAAGGTTCTCTCTGTGTTCCCTTACAGCAGGGTTCCTCAACCTCAGCAACTTTAAGATGGGTGGACTTCAACTCCCAGAATTCCCCAGCCAGCCATGGTTAAAGTTGCTGAGGTTGAGGAATCCTGCCTTACAGTACAGTCACTCCTCTTTTTTGGTGCCATTGATAAACATGAAGTGAAAAGTTCACTTTTCATCCCATAATTGCTTGAAATCTCATAAATTCTTGTGAGAACTGTCCATATGGTGATTTTTAAAAACATTTTGGAGTATGGTGGATGCTCTTTAAGGATGCTGTAGAGGTACAGAGGATAAATCAAGAAAATACATGACATGCAGATGACACTCTTAACAGTCAAATCAGCCCTGTGAAATAATAAGATCATCAGAGAATGAACTGATTATAAGAAGAAGTTGAAAGTATATACAGAAGGTCTGTAAATGGAAGACATGGCCATTTTCTGGAGTATCTAGAAGACATTCCTCTGTTAGAAATGGATGCAAGAATTACAAAATTAACGACACTTGACAAGCAGATGTAGAAAACAGTTTGGGTGCCCGAAAGACAGATAAAACTCAGATTTTATGTGAGTAGTGAAGGATTTACAGATCTGAGAGGCATTAGAAGAGGTATCAGCTCACCCAACTCCATGCTACACTAAGTAAGAGCCAGGCCACAGATGTAACTGCTGCTCTCTACAGGGCTTCCAACAAGCAAAGTTAATGACTCTGAACTATACTGCTGAAGTTGTTTCCCTTGATAAAGGTGGAAGTTTTATTAGCACTAAAATTTGTCTGCTATTTCTAGCAAAGAGAATTATTGGCCTGGCAGCTTGGATGACCAAAGGAGCATGGTGGGAACTGGGAATTTGTTTCACGTGTTTGGTTGATCCACTGATGAAGAACTAGTAAGAAATCCGCTCTTTATTTGAATTTAACCTCAGGATATATTAAGTACTAGCATAGGTGATATATTGGTCATAAATTGGATGAGATTTTTTTCCAATTCTGTCTTCCTCATCATCAATATTCAAGAGGTGCCAAAGACATCGTAATCCAGATTGAAGTAAAATGCCTCTAATATGAAAACAGCCCTGTAAGAAGACAAAAGTGGTAACTGGTAAGGCGGCTTGGTGTTTTGGGTGTGACAAGTGCAAAAGATTAGCAGAGAGAAATATTAACTGTGACAGAACTGAATAGTTAAATTTTCTGCAGTTTAAGATCTCTTGGATATTACGAGGTTTCCTACTTAGGAATTTGACGACATATTTTCCAACTTAGATCTGTTTTTTTAATTACTGCCATTTGGATGATCTAAGATGGGTTGGACTTCTCCTTTAAAAGTTAGGCTTGTAATTTGAAAAGAGTTTTGGATCCAGCTTTGCTTCTGAATAGCCATGCTGGGAACTTTATGATTCATGATTAGCATACCAGCTGTATGCTTTCAATTTTTTTAAAAAAATGCTTTATCATTTTTGGTCTTCTCTGCTCACTTTGTTGTAGTGTGTTCTATGTAGTTTTGGGTGTTTCTGAACTAAGGCGGTAGAGACTCGGAACGTTTACTAGCTCTCGCAGTGTGGAACATCTGATTCCATACCGTCTCCTCTGCAACAATTCTGTTCTGGGTTCCTGCAAACAGGAATTGGGTGAGGTTGTCCTTCAGAGCGTTGGTGGTGTTGTGAGGGATGCTGTTGGAAGAAGGAGTTAAACTGCCTTGTACGTGGGAAGTCGTTCACTCCATTTTAGACTAAGGCCTTCATTCATGGAGTTCTCTTTGGTCATCTGATGTGCATATCTGATTATAAAATGGGCAGAAGCTGCCGAATTTGAAGCCATGTGCAATAATAATTTGACTTTTTCTCGTTTTTGTCGTTTAAAGGGGCTTTTGAATGCAAATGATTAGGTTAGTCTTATAATTCTCATCGAGACCTGTCTTTGAAGCTTTCCTTATCTTCCTCTGTCTGTGTGTGTGTGTTTTTAAATATGTATCCAATTATATTGAAGCAGATGTGGAAGTTCTCCCACTTTGAGACAAGGAATTACATGGGGCATACATGCTGTTTTCTCTAGAAGTCAGGGTTTTAACATTTTTATTTTTTTAAAAACTTACTTATTAAGTAGTCCTTTTATAATGCTCAATGAAGCATTCCCTGGAGCAGCTTACTCTTCCTGTAAAGAGCTCTTTAGGTCCTACAGTGGGCCACAGCCAGTTCTCATAAAAGCAACGTCACTTTTATTTTCATTCACATATTCACATTCAAAGACAAAACAGTGCTCCAGCTTGTCTGGGGTCACAAACAGAGCATAAGTTTAATAAATTATTGTTGGTCGCACAGTCAGCCAGTTATTCAGACTGGATTTGGCATTTTTATCCACCTATACAGGTGGACCTGGGATAGGCAGATGTTATTCTTTGATGGTGTTAAAGGTATCGTCACAGGATGGAAGCTGTTTCAAGTAAAGCTGCCTAAAGTAACTATTGGCACCATCTTTGCTTTCTTTTGCCACATTCGTTCTACTTCTATTTGCAGGTCTTTGTATCTTGTGATTTTCTCCAGCAGACTTTTTTGTCTTTCTCATCAACAATTGTTCAGACTTTTTTGTCTTTCTCATCAACAATTGTTCAGACTTTTTTGTCTTTCTCATCAACAATTGTTCAGACTTTTTTGTCTTTCTCATCAACAATTGTTCAGACTTTTTTGTCTTTCTCATCAACAATTGTTCAGACTTTTTTGTCTTTCTCATCAACAATTGTTCAGACTTTTTTGTCTTTCTCATCAACAATTGTTCAGACTTTTTTGTCTTTCTCATCAACAATTGTTAAGTCTGGGGTGTTGTGTGGCAGGGGCTTGTTTGTTTGAATTCTAAAGTCCCAGATCACTTTAGCTTCTTCATTTTCTATTCCTTTGTCTGTTTTGTGATCCCACCAGTTCTTGCTTGCAGGCAAACGGCATACATCAGTTGGTTTGTTTCTTGCAATGAGCTGGTGCTTATATTTGATATTACAGTATTGGCATCTTTCAGTTTTTGTGCTAGCTATTTCTTTGTAACAAGCTTCACTGCAGGCAACCTTATTCTGTTGTCTTCGTGCTGTTCTAGATGCTTTGTTTCAGTTCCTCTTGTTTTTTAGTTAGAGGGCTTTGTTCTTTCTCAGGAGAAGGCAGAGCAGAGGGTGCCTGGTTTGGGAGTGAAAATGATTCAGTAGCGATGCTGGGTTCCTCTACTGCCGACTCCCCCTGGTTTGCCTCTACAGTCTGAACTACTTCTGGCAAGGCTTCGGTTTCTTTGCCCTGGGTAGACCTATGTAGTTCTTCCGCTACTTCTGTGATTACTTTATTTCGTGTTATAAATTGGTGTTGATCTGCTAGCCTCTGTTCTGTTATTGCCAATACTGGATGTTGTCCTTTCCAGAACTGGTGCATTCTTTTCATATATCCTCTTCTTGTCGGACTTGATTTGTAATAGCAGATCATTATTTCTTTGCTTTCAGTCTGCGTATATTTGCGATGGGTAAACAACGTTTCTTCCAGTAGTCCTGCAGCTGCTGGCCCTGGTTGCTCAGCCAACAGCCCTGAGTCCTGCAGCCCACTTGTCAGCAGATGCCCAGGAAATAGAAAACCTAGCACGGTCCTTGTTGACCCGGGCAACGAGCAATCTGGTATAGGTTTCTGTAAATTACATCTCACAGTATTGTTTATGAGAGAGATCCTCTTCATCTGGCTCCTCTGATGAGACCTGTCCAGTATAATTGAACCTCTGGCATTGTTCTCATCCTCCTTGGAGCACACAAGCCCCATAACCATGTCAAGGTAGTGCCTCACTGGGGGTTGTGGTTGTTGTTATGGTTGATCGCACAGTCAGTCAGATGTTCAGACTGGATTTGGCATTTTTATCTACCTATCGAGTCCTTCCCAAGGACCTGGGATAGGCAGATGTTGTTGTTTGATGGTGTTAAAGGTATCGTTGCAAGATATAAGCTATCATCATCATTATCATCATCATCATCATCACCATCATCATCATCATCATCTCTCAGCAGCTCCTTAAACCACCTGCATTTTTTCCCAAATTGCCTGACTGCCTCTCATAGCTACCGCATGAACTGGAGAGAAGATGGGCTGTAAGGTATTAGCGAAAGATGCTAGGTATGGCCCCAGCATGCTCCAAAGCAACTTCTTGCCTGAACAGTCTCTCCTCCTACTGTCCTTACAAAATCATCCATTCAAAGTTATAAAAAAGAAAGAGAGAAAGAGAAAGGAAATACATAGATGCTTCTTATGGAAATACGCGCTCTGACATACGCAGTAGTGCATATTTCCGTCAGAAGCATCTATTAAGTTATCAGTTCAAGGTTGGTATGGTCCATTATTCTCAAAATCCTATTCACAACTGACTACTTCTTGCCTAGAAGAGAATGCAAGAAAACTCCAGAATATTAGACCATAACTAGACTGCACAAGGCCTTGCGAAAAACATGCTATAAATTATATTAAACTAAGCCATTTCTTCATAATAAGGCTATGAGCATCATTGATGTCAAGAACCTTTTTAGTTGTTTTTCATTCAACTCTCATTTTACAGACTTCACACAGAAATTCCAAATAACAACACACAGCTAAAATAAAGCATGTTCATCCTTTTTTTTTTTCCTCTACTCCAGGCTGTGAAATTTGAGCCTTATCATGACAGCGCCTTAGCCCGGTTTCTTCTGAAGCGCGGCTTAAGAGTAAGTATTTGGAAAGCTTTAAATTAGATGAAACGTAGATGTATTTCCAACATCAGCTCTGTTGAGAATACGTCTCATATGTTCCCTCCTCCATTCATAGAACAAAAGAATCGGACACTTCTTGTTTTGGTTTCTGAGAAGTGAGATTGCGCAATCTATGCACTATCAGCAAAGGTTTGCCGTGATCCTAGAAGCCTACTTGAGGGGCTGTGGAAAAGCCATGCTGCAGGACTTCCTCAAGCAAGTTCAGGTCACTGAGCTGCTGCACAGGGTGACCAGGGAGATAAAGTCCATTTCTGCAGAGAAGTATGATGTCACCCCTCAAGGTAGGCACAGTCTTTATAAGCACGATTTCATATGTAACACATTTTTCTCGTTTTTAGTCATGGGCAGCGAAGTCTGTGGTATCTTTGTGTCACAGTTGCAGTTTCAAGAAGAGTCAGTTGCAAGCCGGATCAAAAAACCAAAAATATACTTGCCTTGGTAAAACCCCGTCAGAGTTCATTATGAACACAGATAGCTGTTCGTAACTTAGCAGAGCCAGATGGTTGCTCCAGAGCGGTGTCTCCGTTGTGGTGGTGATGGTGTTGGAGGTGACCTTGAACCAGTGTTTTTCAACCTTGAGAGCTTGAAGATGTGTGGATTTCAACTCCCAGAAGCATGCTGGCTGGGGAATTCTGGGAGTTGAAGTCCACACATCTTCAAGTGGCCAAGGTTGAGAAACACTGCCTTGGACCCTGCAGGGTCTCTGTGTTGTTGTTGTTTTTCCCTAAAGGAGATCTAGCAGCATAGGTAGAGTTAAAGTTTAGCCTTTCATCATGGGTATCTTTAAAAATGGAATAATGCCTAGATTATCTAAATAAAATGTTTCTTCTTCTAATTCTGCCATGTCTAAGTGTTTAAAGATGAGTGGTGTAGAAAAAAATTGTTCTTAGGGTTCAGATAGGTTGGGGTGTGAGGAATAGCTTTCTGCTTTTTATATCTGAGATGTACAATAGAGAGGCTATTTTGATAATGGAAATCAATCCATACTCATTTTATCTGGATAGACCTGTAAGGGTTTTCTATATAGGTTTAGGAGGGAGGATTGGTGTCTGTACTTTTGAAGGACGTGGAAGGAAAAAAAAGAATTTATTTTGCCTTCCTTTGGAGAAAATATGGAAGTCAGCATTTTAAGACTTTTTTTTTTTTTTTTTTTTTACCAACAAGGATTTTATTGATTGACTCCCTTAAGGGATATTTATGGTCTGCTGTTTTATACCTACAGTGATCTTTTAGGATATTTTTTTCTTAATTGTATTTCATTTTCTCCTGAAATGATTTTGATTATTTTAAAAGAAAAGAATTATTTGTTGAAAGCCCCTTAATTTTCAGATGTAGCTTAGCAAATCTTGATAGCCTTCAAATCAGATGAGATGTTAATAGTGTAAGTCATGAGTGTGACTGTCTCTTAGCTAAGTTAGATCATGACTTCAAAAAGCTCTGCAATGGTTGAAGACAGATAGAGCTTGTCTTGAGACATAGGCACGTTTCTTTTGGTCTTATTTCCCATACTAGAAGCATAATTGTGTACATTGAGACAGAGAGGTCAAGTCAGTAACTCATATGTTGCTAACCATTATAACCACTCGTGGCCTCTCGTACTCATAAACCTGGTGGCTGGAAATGTCTGTTTTGTTTCTGATCAAGAGTTACCAGACTCCTTTTGCAAGATCAAATGTGAGCAATCACCCAAAAGTTCTCTTTAGGAACCATGGAGATGACCTTGGAGAAACCATCCAGAAGCCATTAAGACAACAGCAACTGCAAAAGAAGCATGTGTTAAGCTCAGGGAGGTGGGAAGGTATTAAAAAGAGACTCAGACTAGTTCCTCCACAACTCCATGGGTATAAAAAGGAGGGAAGGGAAAACACAGGCAGACTGCAAGATTCTGTTACTAAAGGCCAGTGTTTCTCAACCTCCTCAACTTTAAAATGGGTGGACTTCAACTTCCAGAATTCCTGGCTGAGGAATGCTGGGAGGAATTCTGGGAGTTGAAGTCCACTCATCTTAAAGTTGAGGTTGAGAAACAATACTATAGGATATCTCAATCAAGTAGTCTTCCAATGGAGTCAGTCTCCTGATCTTGTCTACTTCATATGGCTGACAGCCAAGCTTTTAGTAATAGCTATGGCTTGCGGAAGTAATTTGATCCTTCTTTTCATCATTGTTTCAGGTTTGGTTTTCTTATACTTTTAAGGGTTGTATTTGTGTTTTATTGGTCTGGATCATAAATAAACAATGGCCTCTAGATATTCTCTTGAAATCTGAACCTTACTTCCTAAAGGAGAAATTAGGTTGTGTATTCCACAGAAACCAGCAATCCACCTTTCCATTTCATGCTTATCAGAATAAGCTTCTGATTTTTTAAATCTTTTTTTTCCCCACTCTCATTTCTTAGTCATCACACAGCTCAAACAAAAGCTTGAGAAGCTACAGGACAGCAAATTTCCAGAATGTTTTAGAGTTCCATATGACCCTGGACTGAAAGCAGGAGCACTTGTGGTAAATATAATTCCTTCTCTGATAACAAAGTCTGATAAATGAGTGTCAAAGGGCCACTGAGAAACAAGAAGTAAACCCTGATATATGCAACAGTACAAAGCATTTTTTTTAATCCCCCAAAGTTTAATAGAACAAAAATTGAGCAAAACATCCATGAAGGCTCAATGTAATCTTGAGTGAGAGTTGGCAAGAAATAAATAAATGACCTGGTTGAGTTTCTGCTATGAAATTAGAGAGATACATGGCTGGCTGGAAACCTCAACAAGAGCACAGCTGTTTACAGGATGAGAAACAGTGCATGACCTGTTAAATTAGATATTCTCTGAGTGAAAAATATCTGAAAGTGAAATCAATTGCATGTTGCACACCTAAGCGATTTTTAAATAGTTTATGTTTCGTTATGTTTCTTTGGATTAAAACACACACACACACACACACACAATTGGATAGGGTCTGGTAGGAAGGTTTAGAAGGAAATAAGGAGTAATTCTACCCCCCTGCTTCTTCTACAGTCTCCCCAGTGCAATTTGAGGACATTCTGCAATCATCTTTCAACTGTTGGCCTCATAATGGTGAGACCAAGGAGCAAAAGTTGCTGTGATAGGTCCTACACTAATGAAAATCCCTTACTCTGAGCAAAGGGGAAAGAACATAAGTGGCTGGGATGTGTACACCAATCCCTAGCCATGTTGTAAACATTTTTCTAGCCATATTAAAAAAATCTCAGAAATTCCTGTGAGGGAGAGATGAACAGCTGTCGGGCCCCCTTTCATTTTGAAACCCTGTAGTCAGGAGGCATGGAAAGGCAAGAGTTCCTGCAAATGATTGCCTGCAAGAGCCACAGAGGTGCAGGCTTAAAAGAAGACTTATTTTATGGTGGCTTCAAATATGCCACAACTGAGCCAATTACTGATGCAGAGTTCTTACATGAAAGTGTCCCAAGAGAAAAAATATGGATGTACAGTAACAAATGGGGTTGATCCTGGAGAGATTCATTTCAAAATCTGTGTTTAACATTTTTAATTTCCTTCACTTTGAGAGTAGATGCACGGTCTTAGCCTTTAATCCTTAGACATCAATTCTGGTTGTAATCGATGTATAAGGGTATCCCTTTTCTTGCAGATAGAGAAGTGTAAAGTTATGGCGTCCAAGAAAAAACCGCTTTGGCTAGAATTCAAATGCGCAGATCCAACATCTCTCTCCAGCGAAACCATTGGCATCATCTTCAAACATGGCGATGATCTGAGACAAGATATGCTCATTTTACAGGTAATATGTATAACACCCTGAAGAAAGCCAAAGAGATGGGAGAAGCACTAAAGAACCACTTTAGTTAGGAAAAGAGGAAATAAACAGGAGTGTCCTACGTGGCTGCTAATAAATATAGAAGTCAGCGGTGCTAGAGTGACATCATTACTAATAGCAGTCCTCTTTTTCATGTCCTTTTTAAAAAATCACAACTGGATCTGTGTAGCTTACCAGTGGTTTTTCTTGCCCATTTAGCTAAAGTTCAGATTCTTATTCCAGTTTCCCTAACTTTTGCTACTGATGGTAAAGTATTTTTTAATTCCAGTGATGCTTGAACAAGTCTATGTTTTTTTCCAGCTGATTTCTAGAACAATCACAGCAGGATGGCTGAAATAATATTGTCTCCTGATCTACCCTCTTCCTTTCTAATCAGCCAGGGATAAAGATGGGGGGTTTTTTCCTGGACAATTCCAATATTTCTGTGAACACTTACTGTTTTGTTTTTGTCCTGTGTATTGGTATCCATCAAGACTGAGAGCCAGTTTGGTGTAGTGGTGAAGGTACCAGGCTAGAAACCTGGAGACCGTGAGTTCTAGTCCTGCCTTAGGCACGAAGCCAGCTGGGTGACCTTGGGCCAGTCCCTTTTTCTGTGCCCTAGGAAGGTGCCAAGGGCAACCCGCTGTCAGGGAACATGGGACAAAATAGAATGTTATGTAGATAGCGACTGGGGTGGAGATATTACAGACCGGAGGTCGACAACTGGGATAGTCATAAAATATGCAGATTCCATGGTACATTGGAAGGTAAAGAAACAAACAGCAGTTGCAGTGTCCACAGCAGAAGTTGAGTATGCAGCGTTATCTGACGTATGTAACGATGTAATTTGGTATGTACAGGTGTTTAAAGACCTTGAAATACCAACTGTATTACCTGTAATTGTGTATGAGGATTCACAAACCTGTATCACCATGGCTATATCAGAAAGAGTTCATACACGATGTAAGCATGTGGACATCAAATACTGCAATGTGCGACAAGCTGTACAAAAGGGGTTAATAACCTTAATATATTGTATGTCAGAAAACAATATAGCCGATATCATGACCAAGCCATTGGGCAACCAGAAATATTGGATAATGGTGAAACAAATTGGCATGATAGGAATGCATAGTCACACTGAAAAATTGGAGGGGTGCCAGGGGATTACCCTAGAGTAAAGAATTTCTCAGTGAGAATATGGATTTGACAGAGCACAGCTCGACTGTGTTTGCAATCCCCGCAACCCGCCCAGAGCACACACCTGTAGGGTGTGGCAGCGTGACACAGCACAAACCACTGTATATAGCAAAGCGCACCATGGGTTATAGTGTGGCTGGTGATAGGAGTTGTGGCTGGTGTGGAGTTCTGGGAAGTAATTAGGGATTTGCAGGTTGGTGGTGTACATTCTGTGTATATTGTACAGTAAATGTCTGTGTGCAAGTTTTCTACATTGGACTGTGGACTGTTTATTTTGTCTCACGGAGCACCACTACGTGGAGTGTACGCTGCACACCCCAACACCCACTTCCAAAATCTTGCCAAGAAAACTGCAAGATCTTGTCCAGGCAGTTGCCAGGAGTCAAGACAGACTCAAAGGCACCAGAAACAAAAAAGCCATCAAGATTAGGTGTCTCCTCTGTCATTAGAACTTCCGCCCACTGACTAACATAGATTAGTATGGAGGTGTCCAGATGTTTAGCTTAATTGTGGAAAGCACAGTTCATCTCTTCTTGTGGCACTCAACAAATCTTTATCTGATTCACAGAGATGAAGGTGATGGAAACAAGCATAGAAGACAGGATGTTTATGCATTTTAGTGACTTGGAGTTTTTCTTTTTTAATTCTGGTGCATGTTTCTTAATAAGCTAGTTCAGTTATTTGTCTTGTCAGGAGTGTTCTGCAAAATTTATGTAGTTTAATTCAGAGTCCAGGACCCTTCAGATCAGTGTTTCTCACCCTTGGCAACTTGAAGATGTGTGGACTTCAACTCCCAGAATTCCCTAGCCAGCCTTGTTGGCTAAGGAATTCTGGGAGTTGAAGTCCACACATCTTCAAGTTGCCAAGGCTGAGAAACACTGCTCCAGATGTTTGGACTACAACTAACTAAATCCCTGATCATTGCCATGCTAGCTGAGGCTGACATTTAGGTTCCGGCCTGCTGAAATAACTTACTTGTTTTATTTTGCGTGTTCTGTTTCGTAGCTCTACTCTGTAGGTTTTATTTAGTCAGTTTTATTTAGCCTGGGTCGCTGTCCTGTAATAAAGAATTGGATTTGAATTTGATTTGAAATCACTTCTTTAGCTCAAATGCATCTTTATAAGATTTTTTTAGAAAATAAAAATAGCCCCTTGATGTGGTTTGTCTTTTGTTTCTATTAGATACTTCGAATAATGGCATCCATATGGGAAGAGGAATCCTTGGATTTATGTTTGTTGCCTTATGGCTGCATTTCTACAGGAAATAAAATAGGTAGTGTATTTGTCCAAACGAGGCCTTTTAAAAATCACAGTACCTGCAGGAGTTAAAATCTTTCGGGGTTGGGATGAATCCCTGTCTTCTGATACTGCGCTCTCCCTTGGCTTTTTTACATCTGGAATATTTTCTCTCAAGAAACTTCACTGAACATTTTTAGAAAGAGGTGGGCTTCTTTTCATCCTCGTGGCACCCCAGAAACTGTGGATCTGGGGGTTGCCTACTAGTTCAGGCTCATGCTGATAGCCATCTCCCACGAGATGCCAGTCCTTGTATGGAGCTCTCTTCATTTAAGTAAATATAAATAACGGCACATGAAATCTGTCACAATAAGTCTGACAGCTTCTAATTGGACTTGAATGTCACGCTTGGAAGTATTTAGGTAAAAAATGACCTTGGTGACTGACTGGATTATTTCCAGTTGCTCTGCAGAGATTAAATCCTTTCCTCAATTAGTACCTCCATTTCTTTTTCCATTTCAGTGTAACTGAGATTGTGCAAATATGGGGGGATATTGACTGTTGCTCATGAGATGAGTGATGAATTGTGACATGTTCTTACGTCTCCCTCCTTGATCCGGCTCGTTCTATTTAAGAGGAGGTGGAGGGATGTCTGCCACAGCTGTAGTATAAGAACGTTGTCACAGACAACGTAGTTATTAGGAATTTATTTTGTATACTCAAGGCAGCTTATTTAATGCTCCCTCCTACTTTCCCTACAACTCTGTGAGGGTTGAAAGAGAGTGACTGGCCCAAAGTCACCTAAACGGTTTCTCTCCCTGAGGGAGGATGTCAGCAATGTCAGCACTTAGAGGTAGTCTAGACAAGAAGCACCAACCATGAGTACCAACACTACCTTTATTATAAGGTTACAAGTACCCCTCCTATACCTCACTTTTACTCTCCCAAAAACTAGGGAGGGTCCCTTGTGAGAGGCTTTCTCCACTCCTCCTTTGGACTCAGATTTCGTTTATCAGACTAATATCTAGGCTGAGACTGTTCCTCCTGTCTCCCAAGGTCATTACCACATACTATTACAGAGGACTAGAACTCACAATCTCTTAGTTTCTATTCCAGCACCTTAACCACTACACCACACTGGCTCTCATATGACCAATGGGCAGCCATGCAGTCACAAATTTTACAACTTTGCTGTCTTTCTTCCTTATCACCATGCTAAATATGCCCCAGATCTCCTCCAGAGGAACTGTAATGGTACGTGGGAATGACCTTGGGAGACAGGGCAACAAGATGCAGCCAAGGGAAAGGTCAGATAAAAGGCAGCGTAGCCCACAGCAGGAATGTGGACAGGGCAAGAGTTTCAGAAGAGACCCTCCCTAGTTTTTGGGCTGTAAAGGGAATGGGGGGAGAGAAATACTTTCAGACTTGCAAGATTCTGTTAATGTAACCTTACGATAAAGTAGAATTAGCTCATCTGGTTGTGTTTCCTGCCTGGTCTACCTAGTAAGGCTGACAGGGACCACAAATCTCTGTAGCTTAGAGAGCATAGGGAATGTTCTTGAAGAACAGAAGGAAGAGGCGCTACTAAGTCAGTAGTCAGATGTGGGATTTGAGCTCATTGCAAGAAACTAATTTGAGAAAACATCTCAGACATGCTCCACTCTAGTTCACACAAAATTCAAGGGAGGGAGGGAGAGGGAAAAGCACATTCATGCTTTCAAGATTCCATTACTATAGCTGTCACAATAAAAGTAGTCCTGACCTATATGGCATCTTAGACTGGTCTACCTTGTAGAACTGACAGTAGAGATCTGGAGGTGCAGAAGAAGAGAAAGAAATGGTGTAGTTCTGTCACATGGAATGATACTATTGGTTCAAGCCCTGCTTTTTTTAAAAAAAAACAGGAATGATTGAAATTGTAAAGGATGCGAATACAATTGCCAAAATCCAGCAAAGTACAGTTGGAAACACTGGGGCGTTTAAAGATGAAATACTAAACCAGTGGCTTAAGGAGAAGTGTGTAATTGAAGAAAAGGTAAGCATTCCTGATTGCTTTTGTTTTGTTTGAAAAACATTATTTCTTTGTTGGCCACGATGGGGTCTATCATCTTCTTTTTTAAGTTTAATATCCTTACACTTTTCACGCAGTCCGTTCCAACACGAGAACTCATGAAATTTTTAAATTGTGGAGTGAGCAGGAATGGAAAAGAATGTTGGAAGCGAATGGGGGCCAAAATTCACTTCATAGTCTGCTAGCATTTGTTATTCCTCAATCAACAAGGCACAACAGAAAGTTTGAAAAAAGTCGTACCACTAAAAGTTGTGTGCAGACAGTGACAGCTATTTATTTTTTTCAAAAAGAGCTTACATCAGGAGAATCTGCCTTTAAAAACCAGGGATATGGAAGTTGAAAGTCAAATAGTTTTAATGGAAAAAGGCTTAGTCGGTCAGGTAAATTAGGGGAAGATGCAGAGAAAGCCTTTATGGGTTAAGAGAGATGATGAATATAACAGTGATGAAACTGTGATGTTAAAAATGTTGCTTAGAAAAAACTTTGGGGGAAAACAGACTGTAATACTGCAAGAGTTTTAGCAATTCACACATGTTTAGCGAAGGGTTTTTTTTTTTTCATGAACCATCCTTCTATTACTAGGTTGTATCTCAGGATCCTTCTTCTGAAGATCCTTCTTTTAAGGCTGAGAGCCGTCTTGCATCTGATGTGGGATATCCCTTTTCTTTGTATGTTGCTATACGTTCAGTAAGACAATTAGCTGGGACTTGAAAAGAAAAGCCACAGGTTGGATAGGAGCATTCACTTAAGAAGAGAAAAAGAGCGAGCGAGCATATAAGTGATTTTTCTCTCTGTATGACTGCAGTTAGCATATTGGATACCAGTATCTGTATGTTTCAGCGCTCTGTATTTGTTTCAGATCAATTTTTTTTTAACGTTTACTTTCACTGTGCCTTGTGAATTGATAACTACTTCCCATTTTATTGTATTTTCTGTAGTAAAGTCTCTGTTTTGTCTGCTCATTTGTAAAACAATCGCAACCATAGATTCACAAGAACGTGGATGTCGTTGAGTTGCCAACACCCAACCTGATTGGAGGCGTAATTACGATTGAAAAGCAACAATTTTGATTACATCGATTTGGGGTATTCTGCAGTCGGGCACAAAGCTGATAACCTGAACCATTTTTTTCACAGTTTCAGGCAGCAGTGGAACGATTTGTATATTCTTGCGCAGGATATTGTGTGGCCACCTTCGTTCTTGGAATTGGAGACAGGCATAATGACAACATAATGATCACAGGGTCAGGTGAGCTTTGATGTTGGTGACATTAATGAGTGAGAGCAGATTCCGTGGCATTTGGATATTGGGCTATGTCTCCATTAGATTGTTATTTTAATGCAAATGTTTATTTTATTGCCTCTTGCTTACCATTTCTTTGCAATTAATGAATTAATGATTTATGATTCACTGTATCATTCTTTCCCAATGGAAGGATGGTTAGTGATTGGGAAGTGTAAAATGGAGGGATATGGAGAGAAAAGGATCATTAAATGATAAATAACCAGTTTCCCATTTGATACAATATACTCCTTTCACTTAAGAATTTTTAAGAATCCTTACATTTCCCCAAAAAATGATCACCGAACGACTATTAATTTGGGGCACTACAGATGTTCCAATCAATAATAAGTAACAGAGAGTAAGTATAAAACGGTAATCTTAACTAAAAGAAGATTTAAAGATAAAAAGTTTCACTTAAACTATAAAAGTTTTAGCTAATAAGGAAGTCAGTCACTAGGAGTTAGTGCTCCTAGCTTACTCCTAGTAAGGTATATCTTACTCCTAGTAAGCCATATCTAGCAGACTATGATTAAACGGGTTCATCTGCTTTTAGTTACCGTGTGCCTTATTTTACTTGAGTTTTGTAGGACTTGGCTATGTTGCGTGTTGTCTTAGGGTCAGTGTCTGGTAGCCAGACAGAGATCAGACAAATAAGGCAAATGAAGAGAAGACGGCAAGGAATGCGGTCATTTGATTATAGAAAAGCAGATTTTGACAAAATTGGAGAGCTCCATCCATAGAAAGATACAATAAAGGTACAGAAGGGAGGCCCAAGAGAGCTTTTTGAAATAAGTCATCCTAGGAGCCCGGTTGACTTGTTTTTAATTGCCCACCGTAATAATTGATTTCTTCTTCCCAAGGTAATCTCTTTCATATTGACTTCGGCCATATTCTTGGAAATTACAAAAGCTTCCTTGGAATTAATAAGGAAAGAGTTCCTTTTGTGTTAACACCAGATTTTCTTTTCGTCATGGGGACATCTGGGAAGAAAACAAGTCTGCGTTTTCAGAATTTTCAGGTAATTGGCAATGAAATAAACTTCTGTGATGTAATCGTTCTCATCCACTGTTGTAAAAAAAAAGTTTGAAGGAGATGAGTTGTTTTTGGAGGCTCCTTTTCATAAGCACTGGACCCCGGTTCTTTTTGAGCTTTAAAAACGAATGACGGGATACCTCCTTGCAGCAAAATATCACTTGAAATAAACATACAGGAACTGAGTATTATTGCAAAACCAACATTGCATCCTTTCTGGGGTTCCTGTAGGGTTGCTTTGTGTATCTTGGACAAGCAAAAACATAAATGTGAGCGGCAATATAAGCGAGTATTGCACAAACCCATATCTTTTAGCTTCCTTTGGCTTCTAGGATAAGTAGCACCTGAAGGTAATTCTTCCCGTGCGAAATAGAACACCTCTGTGTTGTGTGAAATCTGAAATGCAAGCTTTCCTTCTGTCATCTTAAAGCCACATCTTGTTTCAGAAACCTGAGGAGCTTCCTTCTCTATTTCTTCAGTTGCAGTAATTGCTCTTCATGTAATTCATTTTGTCAGTAGAGTGACCTGGTCATGCCTCCTAGTAATTTGTGGTTCTTTTAACCATGGTTTATTGAATAAAATGCAAATAGCTGGGTTTGTAGAACATATTACACTGGGGCAGGCGACTTTTCAGTGGGGCAGATTTAATTATTAAAAGAAAAGACGGCTCCCAGGACTATATGAATCATGTCTGGTGCTGTAGTCACTCCAAGGGGGTTTTGGCAAGTCTTGGGGTGGCTGGGGAATTCTGGGAGTTGAAGTCCATATATCTTACAGTGGCCAAGGTTGAGAAACACTGGTAAGAGCAATTAGTGTTGTAAGTTCTTCTTTAGGATCACAATTCATGCTGAGATCAGAAACTGAATAAGACCATGCAAAGCCAATGCTAATTCAGATGAAAGACGTCTTAGGTGTTATTTTGGTCTTCAACTAGAACGAAGATAACATTTCACTAGAACGTTTTGTTTATTCCATAGGATATTTGTGTGCGGGCTTACCTTGCCCTTCGGAAGCACACAGACCTTCTCATCATCCTCTTTTCTATGATGCTAATGACGGGGATGCCCCAGCTGACTAGCAAAGAAGATATTGAATATATCCGTGACGCACTGACGGTTGGCAAACACGAAGACGATGCTAAGAAGTATTTTCTAGATCAGATAGAAGTTTGTCGGGATAAAGGCTGGACTGTGCAGTTCAACTGGTTCCTACATCTTGTGCTTGGAATTAAACAAGGAGTTGAAAAGCATTCTGCCTAAGGATGCCATTATAAATCCTTTGCAGGTGGATTCGTTGGTGGTTACTTGATACGACTTCCAAGAACATGGTCCCTGTCCAGAACACCCCTTTCCTTATTAGAATCTGGATCTGATGATACTGCATAGCACTAAGCTAGCACTGGCGAACATGTGGCTGAAGTGGCTTCGTTTCTTCCCCCCCAATCCAGACTCCCATTTCCCACAGATGTTTAATAAACTAAAACTAAAATTTATAGGTAGCATTGAACATCTTTTTTCCCCAGCTTATTATATAGTTTTCTCCTGCTTGTAAACATTTGTACCCTCACGGTTCTATTTTTAACTCTTTCTCCTGCTTGCATAATATTACAGTAGCAAAGTTCTCTAGCCTCTATAATTATTTAAGGAAAGAAAGCTATGGCTGTGACATTCCAAGTCACTAACTCCAATGTTGCAATGAGTGTTATGCACAAACTGCAATTAGTTAATCATCAGGATCCCCGGAAAGCAGAATGCTGGAATTACACTCTTGGACGGCCAGTCATGGACCACTGCTTTGGTGATAGAAAGCCCGTCTGTATCAGGGATAGACAACCACAATTATGGTTGGGTGATATGATAAATTGCTGATGTGGAAATCCTTATGGAGTGGTTTGTTGAATCTTTTTGGAGATGCAGGAGCGAACCTGCATCTGGAGAAGAAAGAAAATCCAAAGTTGAAGAGGCCATCAGTAGCTGATCCCTCTTAGGTGACGTATGTGGGTTTTGTGGTTGTTCAGTCATTGAGATGGGCAATAACCATCACCAGTGGAGCCTCGATGGTGCTTCCTGCTCTCCCCCAGGAGGAAAAGGCAAGGAAGGGCCCCCTCCCATCATTCTTTTTGTAAGACCAGCGAAATAGCTTTGGAAAAGACCTTTTCCCTCCTGAACTTTGTAAAGCTTACTAGATTTTGAATTTACAACCTTTTTGTTTTGAATGGTAGTACTTTTCATCGATTGGTGAAATTATCTCCTTATGCTGATGGCATTGTAAATGCGGTTGAAACTTTAAAAAGTTTTACGATAGTGGTAGTTGGTCCCTAGAAGAAATACCGCCCAAGAGCTGCTCCTTTTACCAGATGTTTAAGAAGTCAGTGGTTATTTTTTTCCTCAGGAACATTTTTAAAATTGTTCAAATCAATACTAGTGCCATAATCCCTTGAGCAATGGGAGGCACATCTGGCAGTTAGCCTTTAATTGGTGTATATGTTTAATTTTCAACCCCTTCTTGCTGTATCAAACAGCCTTTTACATTCTCCTGATGTTCAAAGTGCTCCGTCAGGCCATTTAAAAATTAATGTTTGAAAAATAAACATATTCAAAGATCCATTAGATTTGCAGACTGTTTACAGCATTGTGAGCCAAATCAAGGAAACTTACTTATCCAGGGTGGTATGGTGCTTTGGCTCTTATGTTTTATATTTTAAAAATAGAGGTATTTATTTTTAAAAATGGGGCACTTTCCTCTATTTACCCACATGAATTCAGGATGACTACTGAACATGTGAACATTTTTGCACAGAGGATCTACCGTTGTAACTAAATTTATAAGGTGCACTCTTGAGAGCATGAAATTGTCTGACTTGAATTGTAATGATACCTTGTGTGGGCGCATGTTTCTCCAAAACAAATATTGTGGAATTATATTTATTTATATGTCTCATGTAACATGTCATCTCATTATTATGTCACAAGATACATTCATATGTACATTTTTTGAAAAACCTGCAGGTGTAACCTCCTATTGCTTGGAGAAAGATAAGAGTTGAGATGACTGCTGTGTACTCTAAAGGCTTTTTTATTTCCCTGTTTCCTTAATGAGGGAATCTGCAACTGTTTAGTTGTTCTTTGATTACAATTTCCATCATCTTTAACTCCGGTCCATGCTGCAATTGATAGGAGCTGAATCCAAAACTGTTATATTGTGCAAGGTTATCCTATAAGCAATTCTACATTAGAAAACCTGGTTTACTGAACTTTTACACTTTCTAACGGTAACCTTTTAAAGACTCGGTCGTTTGTACTGTATCTATTTTTCAATTGAAAAAAAAAGTGAAGTGATTTTATATGTTTGTGGCAAAGAATATTCATATAAATATACTTCAATTATTCCACAATTTTTCTGTTGTGTATTTTTGGAAAAAAAGGATCCGTGACTGGTGCTGTCCTCACCATTTTAATAGGGGACAAGTTAAGGAAAGTGATTGGTCAACTCTGTTTCATTTGCCCTCCCACCAATGCTCACTAATTGGCTGGAAAAACAGCCACCAATCACTCTTCTTAACGTGGGATGGGCTGTGGCTGGTGGCCGGACGTGGCTCAGAACTTGCTTGGTTTTGTGTAAGAGCTTTGCATGGGTACATTCAAGGCAATCGACTAACAGCTGTAGTCAAGCTTCTTTTGTTCTCCAGCGTTATTCCAGGATATGGTTATTCTGGAATAGCATTGGAATACAGCTGTTTTGACACCGTGGCAGAGTGATACTAGAATAGTGTTAGCCGGAAACAGAGGCACACCCAGGCGTCACTGCAATCAAGGCGCCTTCTGTATATCTAAGAGAGATTTCAAGATAATATCTTGGAGATGGAAGATGATACTTAGGACTTTTTTTCCCGAAAGTTTTAAAGGAAAAATCACTATTCTGTAGTTCAAGCAGGGCTGAAACTTGCTCCTGTGTTGAACTGAAATGAATTAACATTCAGAGAGAAAGGAAGAAATTATTAGTATTAATTTCCCAGCTGAGAACTTTTGCTGTTTTTTTTAAAGAGAGATCTTTCAAAGAGCCGTGAATCCATGTTTCTAGGGCAGTGTTTCTCAAACTTGTCAACTCTAAGATGTGTGGACTTCAAGTCCCAGAATTCCCTAGCCAGCAGGGAATTCTGGGAGTTGAAGTTCACACATCTTAAAGTTGACAAGTTTGAGAAACACTGTTCTAAGGAATCTGAATAATTCATGACTGGCTTGGGAGACGCTGTTCAGACATCATGCAGCAGCTCCTTCTGCAAAAGCCAGATGTTTGGCCTCTCCATTATCCCAAGACAAATGGCCAAGGACAGAGGGAGAGGCTCAGTCTTTGATTGTGTCTTCAACAATGTTGTCAGTGAGAAATCGAACAAAGCTCACATGGTAAGACTTTGTATAGGGATAAGAGGAAAAACACTTCCTTAAAAATAGAACAGGTAAGGAGAAATTTAGGCTGTGTCTTAAGCTGTACTTTAAAAACCTGTAGTGAGGCATCTTTATGCAGAAGGTAGCAGAACTAGCAACTGAACTCTAACAGTACAGAGTTCGTGGTTTCCCTTATAAATCAGGGAGCTCAAAAGTGAAAGGCAACATTTGTGTTAATTCAGTTTTATGGCTCTTTCTCTGGTTTCTTTCAGTAAAAAGCATCCACTAAAGTTTCTTTTCATACGGAAGTATTTTTAGTATAGAACACATGCATTTTAAAGTATTTTAATGAGCATCACAAGCAATTTTGCATTTTATAACCTGAATGTGCTGTTTAAATGCCTTGTCAGGCCTATATATTTTACTTTAAAACTGCTTCCTTACTACATACTGCATAAATGATATTTGCACATGCAAGCAGATAGCAAAATACCTGAATTGCAATACAACATACGTCCCTTGAGACACTGAGGTAATTTACAGGTATAATGGCACAAAAAACTTCTGGGATAATACAGCAAATTCCCCAATGCAGGTAGTCCTCGAGTTACGCTGCAGTTGGGACCGGGATTGCCGTCGCTAAGCGATGCAGTCATAAAGTGTGACGTCATGTGACCCCATTGCTTAGCAACAGCAATCCAGGCAGTCCCAGTTGTCATGGTAACCCAAGATGCACAGGTCCTTAAGCGGGAAGCAGAGGGAGTCCCAATAAGGAATGCAGGGGCACCACGGGGGGGGGGGGGGGGGGGGGGTTGGGGGAAGCCCTGGGAGGCCTGGCGCAAGCAGGGGGAGAGGGGGCGTTCAGTGTGGCATGAGCTCGGAAAGGCTGGGGAATGAGGATATGTATGGGGTGCATGCGATTGCAGGGAGGCCGTGGAAAGAGAGCATGGGATATGTGCGAGCGAAGGGGGAAGGAGGGTGGAGTGCATGCAAGCGAAGAAAGGCTGGGGGAGACTTATCCCAGTGACTTGTGACCTTCCTTGCTGGCTTCCCATTGACTTTGCTTGGGGGAAGCTGGCAGGGAAGGGTGCAAATGGCAATCATGTGATTGTGGGATGCTGCAACTGGTTGTAAGCATGAGCAGGTTGCCAGGCACTCAAATTTTGTTCACAGGACTGCGGGGGCGGCTGAAACTTCAATGACCAGTAGTAAGTCCCTTCATTCAGCACTGTTGTAACTTCAAATGATTGCTTAATGAATGGTTGTAACTCGAGGACTACCTGTAGTTGTTCTTTCCTCTTAGTTTATTATAATTTAGAGTCATTGTAAGAGAAGAACTGTTTCCTCATAAGTAATTCTGTGTTGTAGGATTGCCAACAATCCTATACTGCTCTGACTAGTAAAATGATCATAAATAAACGACATATAAACATTAGAATTTCCCTTGCTGTTTTGCTTTTGATGCTACTAAAAGGTAACTTCCCCACTCTCAATCTATAGCACCTTTTAGAGCTGCCTCACACTGTTGTGTCAAAATCACTGTAATGAAGACAGGCGTTATAACACTTCAGCAATGGACCGGTGATGCAATGAAGATGCTTGAAGTTGCTATATCAAATAGATTCATAAATGTACTACATCCACTAATATTTATTAATTATTACATCCATATTATGGATTGGTAATGACCATCAGACCAAATGAAGCCATTCATGTAGCTTTCACCCATCCAGTGGCCTCCAGTGGTGCTGAACTATTACTCTAGCCACTAGGAGTAGGATTGGAAAATGCAATGTTAAAAAATGAAACTGAAGGCAGCCTTTATATGGTGAAAGGCAACCCCCACCCAATAAATGAAAAAATTAACAAATTGCACAAAAAGAGATAACTCCAGCATCATCCTGTTGGGGTGCAAGCAGGAAGGATTATCCAAAAGATCAGTTGGAAGGATTATTTTAACTTAATATAGAAAAACTGTATTAGCACCTCAGCAGGTATCTTGTGAAATTGAAAATTGCCATTTTTAAGGGATTTAAAAAACTCTGAATTCATATTAGGGCAATTGCTTCATTAATAGTTAATAACAGATCAGTTTTATTAATAGCTAATAATAGATCAGTATATATATTTTTTATTTTTTATTTTTATCTGCGCTCAGTCATTGCTGACCCTGCAGTGACTGCTTGGACGAGTCCTTGC